ACTCACAAAAGGGTAAAAGACCATTTTACCCCTCCATGGGCTTAATAGTCCACAAATTGACCAAACCCTAAAAGCCAACCAAAAAATCAACGATAGGGAGTACGTTGTGCGTACCAACTCTCTACACTGGGTGTAATCAGCTGCCATGCAAGCATCAGGGGTGCTCGACCCCTACGCTGCGCGTACTGGGATTACGCCCAACGTACGTCCCAATTTCACTCTTATCACCCAATTGGTCTTAATCAATTAAGACATTGGCTCATCTCACAGATCTGGACTCCCTAATAGCTCTTACTCCATAAAGCCAGTGACTTTAAGCCTTTGCATGGCTGATCTGGTCACAAGCACACAAAACACTCACTCTCTTATCTCAAAAAGCTCATAACTCATGCATGGCTTGATTCCAACGTCCAGTATTGGATTTTTATGACATTACACCACTAAATACACTCAAAGGGGACTGATCAAAGTCTTTAGAGCTCAATATCTCATAAAGTCTCCAATTTTTGGGACAAAAACCCTGAAATACTCTACTATGATGCACAAATGAAAATAGTAAGAAAGCTTGAAGCTTTATACCTCTATGTGAAGCTCCCAACACATATATGATCAGATCCAAGGGCCTGGACTCTCACTCCTTCTTCTCAAAAGCTTCTCCTTCACTTCAAGAACACACAAAGACTCTCAAAGGCTCTCAAATGCACTCACAAGTTCAAGAACGAAATAGTAGCCAGGAATGAGGTCATCATATCCTTCATATAGGGGACTCGCCCTAAATTAGGGTTTTCACTCTAGGCCTAGTACACCTAGTGTACTAGGTGGCTTCCGCAAAAAATGCACGCATATAAGTACGTTGAGTGTACACTCGCGTACGCCCCGCGTACTCATTTACCACCTTTTCTCAATAAAGGGCTAAAATGGACAACTACTCAAAAGATCAAGGGTTTCAAGGTATACTTGGACTCGGGATGTTACACTCTGGAAACTATGCTTGAAAGTGAGCAACAACCTCCTCCTAAAGAATCTCCATAATCCTATCCTTGGACACAGCTGGCCCACCTTTACTGCCAGCTCCCGATCCCGATTCAGATCCAGCCTCAAATCGTCTCATCGTAACCATACTGCAAATAAACCAGGTAGATATTATATAACACACATATCATAATAGGGGAACCAACAGCCAATAAAGCCCTAGGGGTTGTGTCTTCCCTGTTACGCATACGGATCCTATGATTTCAGTAGTACAAGCCCTTACTACCTTCCACACCCACCCATATTTATCTTAAGGGTCATCATAACAAACCTAACAATAAATACTAGCATACGCATATACTCAATCCTCACACCTTAGAGGAAGGCTAAACATCTCAAAACTGGTCAGCTGACCCCACACAACTCATCCATTAAACTTCCACCAACCGTGCACACTCGTGTATACTAATCATACATAACACTGGACCCTTAGACAGTCGAATATATGATCCTACCTTAAGCTCTTCATCAACCAAGAACAGGAAATAAAGCCAAACCAAACATTCTCAGGCTATAGAATCTTAGTTATGTATATTCCTAATGCATACACTAAGAAACTACAGTAATGATGTCAATTTCATATTAAGAGGAACCCTATGCTATCTGGCATCATATAATCAGGAAATTATATCATGTAATTCTTGAAGATCCCTAGCATATCGCTAACATGTTGTCCTAACATATCACAAAATCAAATAACATTGTGGTAATTTAGGGTCTACTTACTAGCTCCTACTGATCGTACACATCGTATCCTCCTTGATTATTATGAAAACACTTTTGAAAATCAATTTTAAAATCTTTTTCCTTAGTTTGAGACTATATTCACATGATTGTTTCTCTAATTCACTCAACCCAAGGCTCTGATACCAACTTGTAACACTCATAAAAATCATGAAAAGTTTAAACTTTTTAAAACCAACCAATTCCACAAATTGTTTACAGACATAGTTTCAAAAGAATTTCAACATCAGAGTTCCAAAATTCATAAGCCCAAAACATGAGGATGTGGATGGTCACGCCTTCGCCTTTTTGTAGTCCTCTGAAATACCTGAAACATAACCCAAAATGTAAGCCAATGCTTAGTGAGTTCCCTCAAAATACCAATGCATAATATAAGCATAATACAGAGAACATGTATACCGGCCTACAATATATTTGGTACACTTACAAAACCTTCAGCATGACTAGTACACCTCACCAGGCCTTCAGCCTATCTGGAACTTTCTCCGGGCCTTTAGCCTGACTGGTATGTCTCTAGGGCCTGCAGTATATCCGGGACACCCTGGGTCACTTGGACTTCAGTTTACACTGGTACGCCTTAACCAAACCACACATAAACCATGTCGACATATACATAAAATATAAGCATACACATAATTAGCCAATAGCCAATCAGACATATAAGCATACATATAATCAGCCAATAGCCAATCATACATATAATCACTTTATGCATCTTTTAGGGTAGTTTTTATTATCATTTAACATCACATTTTGTACATTTTCATGGAATTTGTTTAAATAATGTTCAGCTCATATCTTTTATCAGAATTCTTGTACTGCTAGCATTTTTGTGTCATTTTCAGATAGTTTGAGTGGAGCAGTACTTTCGGAGCAGTTGGATGCATATTTGGAGCATAATGGAGTAGAAACTAAAGGAGGATATTGAGGAATGTGTGGAGGATGTTTTGGTAAAGAAACATTCGATCGAATTGATCATATGAAGATAAATTCCTACAATCTGAATCCTAAAGTATGTTTTTGGTAGCTTTAACCCTTTGTCAGTATTTTAACCATATATCATGACTCCTAATTATGATCGATGAGATTCAAAACGTTCCGAAAGCTAGAAAAACTTTCAGACGACTTCATGTTTGTGAAAAAGAACAAAAATGTGATCATATAGGCCAAAATGTGATCGCATTTTTTTTTCTGCGATCGTATTTTTGCCATGAAGTTTCCCAGGGTCAAAATAAGTCATCTGAAGAAAAAAACCAAAATATGCAATCGCATTTTTCACTTCTGTGATAGCATTCTTGTCCCGAAGTTCTAGAAATGTCGAAAATAGCATCCTGCATCACTTAGGGGAAAATCTGGAAAAAATTGGAAAATATGGGATCACATATAACCAACCTACGATCACATATTTTTGGTTTCTTTCTTCATATTTTACTGTATCGCATATAAATACAACCCTCATTATCATATTCTGAGGTTAGCCAATTCCAGACGGTAGAATACCCTTCTGAAGGCGATTTTTGATACCTTTCACCGATTTTTGAAGATCTAAAGATATGAATCATGTCACACATTTAGTTTATCTATATTTATCAATAAAGTTTCTTTCTACTATTTTAGTTTCGTTTTTAGTCATGTATGGCTAAATTATAGTTTTTAGTTCCGCATAGACTAGTACTTTTCATGTGATTAGTTTTCAGATCTGGTTTTTGTTTTGTGTTTCTATCTAGACTTTTCCATTTTGAACTTAATGAACATTTGATTTTTAATTCTTGTTAGTCTGGTCACCTAGCTAGGGTTTTTATCATTCCAGTTAAGCAGTTAATATAATTTGTAATTGTTCTTATCAACTGGTAATAAGTAACAAGTATCAAATTGATTCCGTGTTGAGATTTAACTCTGATATAAATTGTAAAAATCATATCTTTACGCTTTCGAGCTTCTAAGGAGTATTGGGTATTGCTTAGAATTTTAAATAGAACTTAATGCAATTTTTCTGATTTAATTAAGAGTTTGTTCAATTAAACAGGAAGAAGTTAGGGTTAGTTCAAAAAACTTGTTTTGGTTAACTAATTTAGGTAAAAGAGATTATACTAGAGCATGTTAATTTTTTTCAGTAATAGCTTAGATAGAATGTTTTTCAAATAATCAGATCTGAACTAATTGTATGATTAGGAAAGTCGCAACAGAAATGAAATCATTTTTATTATTGATTTTCATTTAATTTAATATCATTGTAAATTTTAGTTTTTTTTAGTTAATTCAAAAACCTCCCTTTTATATTTTCTATCTCTTAACTAGAATGTGTCTGATGCAAACAATCATTGACCGTTAGACTGTGTCCCTGAGGATTCCACAGTGAGTTCAGATGTTTTTAACTTAAGATAAGTTCATTTTTGTTGCAAGATGCTAGTACCAATATGAAGCATTGAAAGACCAGAGAAATCCACTTCATCTAATGGTTTCAATAAGAGAGACTAATACCAAATTGAAAATAGAGAAATCATCTTCATCTAATGGTTTTAATGAGAGAGAGAGAGAGAGAGAGAGAGAGATTTCTAATTTTTATAATAAAAAAACTGAAAAACAAAATATCAATAGCAAAATCATCATTATAAAAATGTTAAAATAAAATTAAACCAAACTGACAACAAAATGAAATTTTTAACACGTGGTGCTAGTCCAAACTTATTTAGACTAAAGTGACAATTTCAGGTAACATGTACCATTTTTGCAATCTTGTTAAAGAAAAATTAACATTTTGAGATCCCGGTTATATTTCTGTATAAAATTTCAAAGTCTGTTAATTTTGGTGTATTTTTTTTTTTTTGAAAAGAAAATTTAATCTTTTGATTAAATTTTGTAAAAAAAAAAGATTTTCTAACATGTACCTAAAAACACACATAAAAAACATTAATTGAACTATTAATTAGGGGGAATATTATTATAAATTAAATGTGATATTCATTAATTATAGTAAAATATTTTTAATAATTAATACACTTCACATTTAATTATAGTAATATTTTCTATAATTAATAGTTCTTATGTGTGTTTTTAGAACACACATTAGAAAATTAGAAAATATGATTATTGAAATTTATCATTTTTTTTTTGTTTTTTGTTATCTTATATTTTAGTCGGGTCGCTGAAATCTCATTGACAACTGACGACGATTTAAGCGCTTTTATTTCATTATTTTTGACATAATACCTGGGTTTGAAAATGAAAAAGATGAAACCTATCTATTTGGATTCAGATTTTATAAAGTTTGTAACGGCTACATTTCAATTTTCAATCTTGAACAGAATCACACCACCCTTTTCTTTTGCCGTCAACCTTCCGTCAATAGCCATTAGCCATCCCATCTCTTTCTCTACGAGGCAATCATCTTCTTCTTCCCCTCTCTGTTTTCTTTCTCAATAAAATCTTGAGTTTGTGGACACTCATCTCCAATGGCTCCCACGCCTTCTTCTAAATCAAACCAAACCCACATAAGAACTCCCCAGTCGAAACATCGACTCAATTTTAACCCCACAAAACCCTCATCAAACCCTACTTCTGGCGTTAAAGAAGCTCATCAACATGTGGATCACCCCGTTGAAGTTATCGGCCGGATCAGAGACTATCCTGATCGGAAAGATAAACCTATTTCGATTCTGAAGGTTAACTCTGACGGCCATTCTGTTAGGGTAAGAACTGAAGTCGGATATCGTGATTTCACACTTGATGGCGCTTCGTTAAGTGAAGATCAGAATCTTGAAGGGTTTTATAAGAAGTTTGTTCAACCCAGAATTAATGGTGTGAAATTAGGAGACAAATGTACCATCATGATGTACGGGCCCACCGGTTCAGGAAAGAGTCACACTATGTTTGGGTGCGCTAAACAACAGGGGATTGTGTACAAGTCTTTGAGGGATATTTTGGGAGATGAGCAGATTGATGAACAGAAGGTGGGAGTTTGTACATTTGTTCAAGTTAGCGTTCTGGAGATTTACAATGAGGAGATTTATGATCTCTTGTCTACCAATAATAACGGTGGATTCAGCATTGGCTGGTCCAAAGGAAATGCTTCCAAGGTTTGCGCAAAAATTCAACACTCTTTACTTGTAAAATTAATGATGTTGACCAATTCAGAGTTGAGTCATCATGTAGGTTGTCATTTTTTTCGTCTGAGACAACATTCTTAAAAAAAATCCAGGTAAAACTGGAAGTTATGGGGAAGAAGGCAAAGAATGCGACTTTCATCTCTGGGACTGAAGCAGGAAAGATATCGAAAGAGATCCAAAAGGTTGAGAAACGTAGAATTATTAAAAGCACATTTTGCAATGAAAGAAGCTCCAGGAGTCACTGCATGGTTCGACTCTCTCTCTCTCTCTCTCTCTCTCTCTCTCTATATATATATATATATATATATATATATATATATATATATATATATATATATATATATATATATATATATATATATATATATATATATATATATATATATTGCTTATGAAATTTGATTGGTTGAAGTAAATTTTCTTTTGTGTGTGTGGGTGCAGATAATTCTTGATGTCCCAACTGTGGGGGGGAGGCTGATGCTTGTTGACATGGCTGGGTCCGAAAATATAGAACAAGCTGGTCAAACTGGATTTGAAGCCAAAATGCAGGTAATTTTCTAACTTTACTTTCTTGACTAAATTATGAAACCACCAAAAAATTGATTCATCTTGCTTGCATTGCTAGCAGACAGCAAAGATTAATCAGGGTAATACAGCATTGAAGAGAGTGGTAGAGTCTATTGCCAATGGTGATTCTCATGTACCTTTCAGAGATAGCAAGCTAACCATGCTTTTGCAGGTAAATAAATGTTAAACACTTTACATACGCTGCTAGCTATGTATATAGATATATATGTGATATGATGATTTCAATAGGACTCCTTTGAAGATGACAAGTCCAAGATTCTTATGATATTATGTGCTAGTCCAGATCCCAAGGAAATCCACAAGACTATATCAACATTGGAATATGGTGCAAAAGCCAAATGCATTGTTCGGGGGGGGCTTCATACACCAATCAAGACAGAAGATTCTTCAACGGTTGTGATTGCAGCCATGGATCAGTTTATTCACAAGCTGCAAATGGAGAATAAGGCTCAAGAGAAGGAAAAGATTGAAGCTCACAAACAGCTCATGAAAAAAGAAGAAGAGATTGCAGCTCTGAGGGCTAAACTTTCAGAGGCAGAAGAGAAGAAGGCTGAGGAGGAGGTTATAAAGGAGCGAACACACATGTTGAGGAGTGAGTTGGAGAAGAAGATAGAAGAATGTCAAAAAATGGCTGACAGGGTTGTTGAAATGGAGAGGAGGAAGATGGAAGAGAAGATATTTCAACAACAGGAAGAGCTTGAGATGCTGAGACATCGCTTGGAGGAGATCGAGTCTGAGTTGACTCGTTCCAGAGACAATAAAAAAGATGATAAGAATATGAACTTTTCATCGTCCACAGAAATACAAGGAAGCAGTTTTACAAAAAGGCTGCTGGACATGCATGCCGATGAGGATCCAGGGATGGAGAAATCCATGGATTTGGATAAATCATTTGATATGGAGCATGTCCATGTCCATAAAACTACTAATACCTCTAGCATACAAGCCATCTTTATGGAGAATACTAATAATGAAGAATATGTTTATGTCGAGGACTCAACAATAAAACCATTTTTGAGCACTGTTTTTGAGGAGGATGAAGAAGAGAGAGAGGAAGAGGAAGTGCAGAAAGAAGTTATTGAGGAAAAGATTCGGGCTTTCAATTTTGATATTGATTCTGAGTCTGGTGGTGAAGATACAACCTCATCTAGGCATTTACGTATCCAAAATATATTTCCACTTTGTGGGAACTACACAGAGATTTCTCCATTTTCTACCACCAACAAGAGAGGTCTCTTTGATTCAAAGGAGAACTGCAGCCCTGTGAGTTTAAAGGATACGGGTGATGTGGTGGAAGTGGTTGTGAAGTGGGAGGAGGATGACAAAGTAATTACAACTTTAAGACTTGTAAAAGATGCAACCGTTGCTGACTTAAGGAAGCTGATTCAATTCTATATTGCTGCCGATAATCAAGCTTTCTCCTTTCTTGCACTTGAGGTATCATCTTCTACTGTTTTTACTTTTCATCATCGATCTGAACCTTAATTACTATTTCTTTCTTTCTTACGTAATGGACTTTTATCTCCTCCACTTTTTTAACTGTAAAATGCTCATTTCCTTTCATCAAGTCGAAAAGAGAGTGTTTTTATTAGTGGAAGAAGAAAAAAACTGAAGTTTTAAGTGCTGATGTAGGATCCAGTGGAAAAGGAGGAGGAAACTTGGGCGCTGGCAAACAAACTTCCAACATGCAATAATGGGGAACATTTAGCTTGCCTAAGACCATCGAAGAAACTGAATTCAAATCATATCTCATTGGAAAACAACCTTCCGTTCAGTTCCCTGGAAAACAAGCTCCCATTCAGTTCCCTTTCTTCCGATTCTTTCTCACCTCAATTACCCGCATCGCCACAGTTCTAAATGCTATTTTCTAGTTTGATTAATCATCATTCTTGTAATTTATGTGAGTGTGAAAATTTTCTTGCTAGTCATGTTAATAGCCGTTGCGAGTATATAAATCTGTGTACTCTCTTGTTCAGGGAAAATAGTGGCATATTTTTTGTTCAAACTGTTAGTGGGTCTCGATTTACTAATCATTATTTATCTTTATTGTGTATAGCCGTGTATATTATTCTGGCCCATTATGTGTGGCCCCTTTATTGTATTTTCTGTATATATATTTTATCAATGAATGAGAAGGGTTACCGGAAAACTTACCAAATTACATGGTATCAGAGCAGTCAATTTTCTCTACTTTTTTCTGTCGATCTTAAACCTAGCCGTCGACATCTTCTTCGTGTTGACGACAGCTCCTCTTCTCATTCTGTTCTCCCTTTCTGCACGGCTATTCAATGGTGTCGTCTTCTTCATCATCGACTCCTCACTCCTCTAATAAACCCTATGGAATCACGAACATCAAAGCATACATTCCGTTCACTCTTGATATTGAACGTATGAATTATGATGCTTGGTGAGACGCGTTTGAAACTCACTGCATTGCTTTTGGTGTAGCCGAACATCTCAGTCCTCCGGATGATAAGATTATCGCTGCTGATAAGAAAGAGTGGGATCATGTTGATGCTCTTGTTAAAATGTGGATCTTTGGTACAATCACTCAAAGCTTGACTCAATCTGTACACAAGAAGAAGCAGAGTGCGTTTGACTTATGGGACTCTTTGGAAAATCTATTTCGTGACAACAAAGATGCAAGAGCAATGCAACTTGATCAAGAACTACGTAATATCACGCAAGGCGATATCACGCAAGGCGATTCCACGATCAATGCTTACTGTACCCGGATAAAGAATCTTGTTGATCTGCTGCAGAATACTGAAGTTGTTGTCCCTGAAAAGAATCTGGTAAACTATGCTATTAATGGTCTCAATCCTCGCTTTGATCATATTGCTAGCATCCTCCGTCATCGCACCCCATTTCCTACGTTGCTGGAAACCCGATCCATCTTGGCTCTCGAAGAGCAAACTATGAATCAAATTCAAAACAGGTCTGTTACAAGCACTCATCACGATAACTCTTCATCTCCTACAATTCTTAATGTTGAACATGCAAACAATAACCACAATACTCGTGATTTTCGTGGCAACAACTTTCGAGGTGGTCGTAATGGTGGTCGAAATGGACGTGGCGGAAGAAACAACCGTGGTGGTGGTCGTGGTAATTCCTACACTCCCAGAAATCAGCCGCATGCTCCACATGGTTGGGGTTTTGGCTGGTATCCCTTACCAGCACCATCTCAGCTGCGAACTGGGCCTCCAACCAACAGTTCTGCTGGCTTGCTTCCGCTCCCACATCAGATGTCGGCTCAATTTCCTGCTCCCTCGGCCCAGATGCAGTTCCGGCCCACTCAACCAACAGCGCCTCAGGCTGCGTTTTCAGCTTCTCAGCAACCGATCCAACCTCCTTGGAACTGTTCCAAAATAATGCACCTGATCAAGCGACTGCATTGCCACAAATGTTCAACACTATGAACCTCAATGACCCTAACGATAATGGATGGTACATGGACTCGGGAGCCACCGCGCACCTTCACTCTAACGAAGGTATATTCAAAACTATTAGTGATAATAATATTTTTTTCATCTTCATACGTGTTAGTTGGTGATGGTTCCAAAATTCCCATCCATAAAGTTGGTTATTCATCCATTTATCAATCTAATTCTTTTCGTACTCTTACTCTTAATAACATCCTTATTACTCCTTCCATCATTAAAAATTTGATTTATGTTCGTCGTTTCACTCGTGACAATAAATGTAGTATCGAATTTGACGCTTTTTGTTTTTCTATGAAGGATTATCGCACCAAACAAACGCTTCTTCGATGTGACAGCATGGGTGACCTATATCCTGTCACTACCATCTCTCTGCAAGTCTTCCACACCATCACTCCTTCTCTTTGGCATCAATGCGTGGGTCACCCAGGTCAACATGTTTTTCAACATTTAGTTTCTCATAATCACATTTCTTGTAAGAACCAAAAAGTGTCTACTTTATGTCATGCTTGTCAATTGGGTAAACATGTTAAGTTACCATTCTCTCTATCTACTTCTATTACTGTGTGTCCTTTTCAACTTATCCATTATGATGTTTGGACTTCTCCTGTGGAGAGTGTTAGTGGAATTAAATATTTTGTTATATTTCTGGATGATTTCAGCCATTTCTTGTAGGTTTACCCGTTGCATGCAAAATCTGAAGTATTTTCTAAATTTCTTCGTTTTCAATCATATGTCAAACTGTAATTCAAATGTGATATTCAATCTTTCCAATGTGACAATGGTGGAGAATATAACAACCAACAATTTCATAACTTTGGTGACTCTAAAGGAATCCATATTCGGTTTTCTTGTCCATACACCTCTCAGCAAAATGGTAAATCTGAACACATGCTTCGAACCATTAACAATGTCATCCGTACCTTATTATTTCATGATCACATTCCACCCTCTTATTGGGTGGAAGCCCTTCACATGGCTACTCATCTTCTAAATATTCTTCCCTCCACTACCCTTCAAGATAACACACCCTACCAAAAACTCTTTAATCAAGCTCCCTCATACTGGCACCTAAAACCACTCCATGTTTCTTTCTTGGATATCCTTCCAACCATCGTGGTTTCCGTTGTCTAAACTTATCCACCATGAAAATCATCATCTCTCGTCATGTCGTCTTCGATGAAACCATCTTCCCATTTGGCTCCATGACACCTAATCACTCTCCTTCCTACTCATTTCTTGACTCAAACGACTCCCCAAATATTTTCTCCTCAATTTCTCATAAACCCCATTCCTCAAACACCAAATCTGATTAATGTCATCTCTCCTCCTGAAATCGATCATACTAACTCCCCCTCCTCAGCAGCACCCTCGGTATCCTCTCCTCTCTCTCCACCTTCTTCTAATGATTCTGAACATAGTCACCCTCCTTCCCCTCCTCCTCCTCCTCCTATGTCTACCCATCAAATGACCACTCGTTCCAAACTCGGCATCACCAAGCCCATTCAAAAACTAAACCTTCATGTTGAGTTTGAGTCTCCTCTCCCTGGTACCTATTCTTAAGTGTTTAAGGACCGTCGCTAGCTTCATGCTATGCAAGATGAATATAATGCTCTTGTCACTAATAAAACTTGGGTTCTTGTTCCACAACCTACGGAGGCTGATATTATAAATTGTATTTGGTTATTCAAAAAGAAATACAATGACGATGGAACTCTTGCTCATTACAAAGCTCGGCTTGTTGCTAATCTTCAAGAAATAGTGTACATGCATCAACCTCCTAGTTTTCGAGACCCATCAAAACCCAATCATGTTTGCCTTCTACAACAGTCTCTTTATGGACTCAAGCAAGCTCCACGAGCATGGTTTCATATATTTGCCCTGTTCATTTCCAGAATGGGTTTTGTTCACAGCCAGTGTGACTCGTCTTTGTTTATTTATCGCCATGGATCTCACACTGCTTATCTACTTCTCTATGTAGACGATATTGTTTTGACACGGTCATCGACTGAGCTGCTTTCTTGGATTATTAACACATTGAGTGCCGAGTTTGCTATGTCCAACTTAGGTGATCTTCATTACTTCCTCGGTATCTCTGTCTCTCGTGACTCACAGGGCATCTTTTTATCTCTACAAAAGTATGCTTCATAAATTTTAGAACATGTTGGCATGTTACACTGCAAACAAGTCACCACCCCAGCTGATCTTTCACCCAAACTTGATGGGTCCGGCCCTAAAGTCTAAGATCCTACAGCTTATTGTAGCCTTGCCGGTGCTCTCCAATATCTCACCTTCACTCACCCGGATCTCACATACGCGGTTCAACAACTATGCTTATTTATGCATGACCCGCGAGAACCTCACCTTGCTTCTTTAAAGAGAGTTTTGCGATATGTTCGATGCATAATAGAATATGGTCTTCAACTCTACTCTCAATTCGACTCTGATCTCATTGCCTACTCTGATGTGGATTGGGCAGGCTGTCCCACTACCAGGCGATCTACATCGGGCTATCGCATTTTTCTTGGTGTTAATTTAGTGTCATGGTCCTCCAAACGACAAGGCACCACTTCTAGATCTAGTGCCGAAGCAGAATATCGAGGTGTTGCTAATGTTGTTGCTGAAACCTGCTGGCTTCGCAATTTGTTGCGTGAACTTCATCACTCACCTACAAAGGCGACTATCGTTTATTGTGACAATATAAGTGCAATTTATCTAGCTTCAAATTCGGTTCAACATCAACGCACCAAGCACATTAAAATTGATATACATTTTGTTCCTGAAAAGGTTGCTTTGGGTCAGTTTCGGGTCCTTCATGTTCCATCTACTTCTCAATATGCAGACATCTTCACTAAGAGTCTGTCGTCTTCACTCTTTTTAGACTTTCCCTCCAGCTTAAATGTTCGCTCCCCTCCCATTCTCACTATAGGGCCAGTTGATTTATTAATCATTATTTATCTTTATTGTGTATAGTCGTGTATATTATTTTGGCCCATTATGTGTGGCCCCTTTATTGTATTTTCTGTATGTATATTTTATCAATGAATGAGAAGGGTTACAGGAATACTTACCAAATTACACAAACTTAAATTGTTAAATTTTCCTACACTTTCTTCTGTTTTATATGCTTTCTATCATATGAATAGTGTTGTCAATTCTTGCACGCAAGATTGATAAATGGAGACCGAAGGGAAAAAACAAATACGTTTTTTTTGTTTAAGTATGCTTCAGTTCTTCGTATTTTGTGATGTTTTTATCTTGCTTCGGGTCTTAAAATTAATTTGTTGAAAAGCAAGTTGATTGGGGTTGGTGTCTCTAAGCCTCAAGTCGAGTTGGTGGCTTGAAAGTTAGGGTGTGCTCCGGACTATCTTCCTTTTGTTCATCTGGATGTGCCAGTAGGTCAATGTATGTCCAGAGTTATATCTTGGTCTCCTATTTTTGATCGTTTTCATTCCAAGTTGTCGGAGTGGAAGGTGAAAACTCTCTTTTAGTGGCCGGTTGAAGTTGATCAAGTATGTCCTGGGGAGTTTGGGAAGTTATTTGATGTCTATTTTTTTGGTTCCCATTCCGCTCCTTAAGTCCTTGGAGGCTTTACATTCTATATTTTTTGGGGTGCGGAGTTGGATGACACGTGTATGCATTGGATCCAGTGGGATAGGGTGTTGGTTGGTAGGAAATGAGGTGGCCTAGGAG